TAGTAAAGAATAAAAAAAGAACTAAGAACTGAAGCTCAGACTCTATTCAGGTACCCAGACCTTTTTCAGCTTTAATTTCATTCAGCTCTTAGCATCTCAGAGTGGGAAGGGTTCTTAGAAATTACTAAAACTTTCACATTGTTTTGGAGGTACTAGCTAATGCAGTGAGACATGAAAAAAATTAGAAGCAGAAAAAGTGAAAAAGAAGAGATGAAATTACTACATACAGGTGATAAGATTACAAACCTGGAAAATACTGTCCCCTTTATTCACCCCGTGTCCCCATACATCCTCACCTCTTCACTGTTCCTCAAACATGTCAAGTGCATGTGACTTTTGCATTTATTTCTTCTTCTTCCTAGAAGACTCTTCCACCTATATCCTCAAAACTAACTCTCTGATTCCATTTAAATTCTGTTCTTCCAGAACCCCTATTATGTTCTGTTCTTCCAGAACCCCTATTATGTTCTGTTCCCTTACTGTGCTTTGTCTCCATGGCATAAGTGCCTCCTGACATAATGTATATTTATTAATGGATTTATTTTCCTTCTCTATAGAATGTAAACTCTTGTAGATTCAGAGTTTCCTGTTGTGTTCATTGCTGTATCCCCAGTGCCCAGAACACTCCCTGGTACATACCCCCGGTGCCTACAGTCCTGTCGGACACATAGTAGGCGCTCAGTGATTATTTTATGAATAGGTAAACAAATGAAAGTCCAAGAAAACCAAAAGAGTAATTTATAAATAATAGTAGAATTAGTAAATTATCTGGGTAAAAATTTAACATGTTAAAAACAAGAGCTTTTATGTTTGTAAAGAACTACCAGTTAGAAGATTTAATGGAAGAAAGCATCACATACTTTATAAACTGCCTTGGAATCAAAAGAAATGTTCAGAGTTTATATGGAAAAAAACCAACAAACAAAAGAACTTTAAAACTTCCTGCTATAATCCCCCACAAAAATTGAATAAGTGGATAGTCAAAATATATTCTCGGATTGGATTGGATTGGATTGGATTGGATTGGAAGATTTAAAGTCATAAGAACCAATTATTCCTACATTAGTATGAAAATCTAATATAATTATATCACAAATGTTGAGAATATTGACAGAATTTGGGGGAGCAAGAAAACTAAACTCTTATAAAGATCATACAGAAAAATATGCAAGAAAATACAGGGTAATTTAGGGAAAGAAGCATAATGAGAAGAAGCCTTCCACATATTAAAATACTATATAAACTTAACATAATCAAAACTTTATAGTCCTGACACATGCATAGAAAAATGATTAGAATAGACTAAAAGCCAAATATAAACCCAAATACATACAAAAAATGATATGGTAAAGATGGCTTTTCAAGTCAGTGGTAAAAAGATGTGCACAATTTAATAAGTAGTATCAGACAATGAAGTTTAATTCTTACCTCACACCCTACACCATGTAAATTAAAACTGAAAGGAAATATTTAAATATGAAAAAGTAATAGAGGAAAAAAGGAAAAATTTGACCGAGATCACAAGAGAAAATATTGATAAATCTGTGTAAAAAAATTAGCATTTAAAAATTTCTGTGTGGCAAAAAGTACCTGTAAAGTCAAAAACAATGACAAATTGTGCAAAAAATATTTTTGTACAACACACAAAGGCTAATTTCCCTAACACCTAGTTTCTATAAATCAATAAGAAATAAAGCCCAACAATTCAGTTTTTAAAACAAAGGAAATGGACAGACAACTCATAGAAAAGAAAATACTAATAGTTCTTAAACATATGGAAAGATACTTAACCATATAATAAAAGGTAACTATACTTAGAGAAATTCAGATTAAAACTAACCTGAGATGTCATTTTTCACCCATCAAATTGGCAAATTTTACTTCAGAGGGAAAGTAGGGGAGGGTGGGGCAAGGGGGAGAGATCAACCAAAGGACTTATATACAAGCATATAGGCCTAACCAATGGACACAGACAACAGGGGGGTGAGGGCATGAGGGGGAGGTAGGGGGTAACGTGGGGATAAGGACACATATGTAATAACTTAATCAATAAAATATTTTTTAAAAAAGAAGAGGTCACACACACACACACACACAAAAAACTTGATTTCACCCATCTCATCAAGGTAATTGACAATGAGACATTGTAATATATTGGTAGGAGTGTAAATTGGTCCTCCCAAGGAGGTTAATCAATATTTATCAAATTGCAAAAGCGCAGAGGACCCAGAAATTATTCTTCTAGGAATTTATCCTACATATAATTGTATATGTGTGAAATAGTATATATACAGAATCAATCACTAAGACATTAGACATTATTTGTAACAAGAAACGGTTGAAAATAAATGTCCATCAACAGGAGACTGGTGAAATAATTATATATATATATATATATATATATATATATATATATATATATATATATATATATATATATTTGTTAAAAAGAATATATGGTTGTTATGTACTTAGAAAAAATACCTCCACGACATATTAAGAGATTAAAAAGTAGCTTTGAATGGTGTGCTCGGTGTGCTACCATGTGTGTGTTGGGAGGCAGGGGGAGGAATGTTTGGGTTTAAACTATCTCTGGAAGGATACATGAGAGCCTGGTAACATGAGCTGCTTCTAGGGAGTGAAACTGGGTGTTTGCAGGACAGTAGTGGAAAGGAGATTTTTTCACTGTAAATACTTTCGTATATTTATATTTTTTACTTTTGAGCCATGTAAATCAATCAATATAATTCACCTGCTGGTCATTTAAACCACATTAGGTGCCAGGTGCCAGGATGGGGCAGTGGAAGCCACTGCAGGATCATTATCAGAAGAGCCATCTTGCTCCGGTCCCAACTCACTGGTGGGCCTGCAGCGAACATCCTCTCCGCTCAGGCTTGACCCAGGAAAGGCCAGAGAAGCTGGTGTCCAAGGCCCTCTCTAGCTCTGACATCCCGAGATGTAAAGTGCAGTTTTTCCTCCTACATTTCCTAAGTCATCTCTCTACCTCCTCCTTTCCTCTGTAGCTCATCAAAAGCTCAGAGGAAAGGACAAGCAATTGAAGAAAATAAAATTGCAAGAAGACTTTTATAGGGCTGCTGTTGAATCATTGTGTATTCCACCACCAAAGCTGAAAATGATGAGTTTAATATCACACAGAGCAGTGCATCTTATATGTCTCAAAAGACAGCTTATGCTACCCAGAAAACTGGGAGTGTGGCAAGGCGTCATGCTTCACTCCAACTCTAAGGCAAATGAAATGGCAGTCATCAGGCCCACATTCTAGAACAGTGGTTCTCAACCTTCCTAATGCCGCAACCCTTTAATACAGTTCCTCATGCGGTGGTGACCCCCCAATCTCATTGTTACAAATTGAACATAATTAAAGTATAGTGATTAATCACAAATACAATATGTAATTATATATGTGTTTTCCGATGGTCTTAGGCGACCCCTGTGAAAGGGTCGTTCGACCCCCAAAGGGGTCACGACCCACAGGTTGAGAACCGCTGTTCTAGAAGCAACATGGTTTTCGTTTGGTTTTAACTTCATTGGAAAGTGTCCCAAGGACTTCAAAGCATGGACTTTCCTTTTTTCCCAGGACCACACTCTAGAAAGGGGACAGGCATGTGGCCAGGTTTTGCCTTGGCTGTTTCCAGCACTGGCCACTGATGTTGATAAGTTAACTGTGCCAGGCATCCAGAAACTGGGTTTCAGTCCCAGTTATGACGTGAGCTTGGGCAAGTCCACTCCCCATTGGGGGCCTCTGATACTCTGAGGAAGGATTACTAGCCATGACTTGGACTGATGTATAGGAAGACAAAATTGGATTTGAGTGACATTGAAGATCTGAGGAGCTAAATATTCCTCAATTCCTGCCAGCTCATTACCGTGTCTGGAGTCTTCTCTCTTGTTGAGTTCTGCACACAGATGCTGAGCAGCCTTGATGCACAGGCACGGGGCTCTTTACAGACAACCCCCTACCTCCGGGGGGCTCATAGAGGGAATGGTAACAGATAAACCACACCAAGCGAGGAAGTGCCTTAAACGTGTGTAAGCAGAGAGCAGAGAAAGGCTAGTCACAAGGTGTGTTTTTTCCAGGCACTATGTATATACTATTGGGGAGTAGGTGTGGCATCATGAAATGAGGTTAAATAAAATAATTAACTAAGAGGTCATACGTGAAGTTCCCAGAATGGTGCTGGCATGCATTAAATATGTAGTAAACGATAGTAACCATTATTGTGATATTTGATTCTCACTGTAACTCTCTGAGATTGGAATTAAAATAATCACTTTTCAAATAAGGAAGCGGAGGCTCAAAGTAGGACCATGATTTACTCCAGAGCCCTCAGCTAGAAATGGCCAGTCAGGGCAAAACCATAAGCAGGCCCAATGTAAACATAATTATGTTGCCTCAACGTATTCTAATTAATCAGAGAAACAAATTCTGCTACTGCGTTTAGTCTTGAGTGTGTTAACTGTTCAGGACTTGACCAACAAAAACCTCACTTCTTTCAGAGAACTTTGGAAAGGTAGCGTTCTCAGACCCGAGGGCAGGTGGTATTATATGTGAGCAGAAATTGATTCTCACTGTCTCAGTCCCTCCAATCACATTGCAAATGGTTGCTAAATGGGCTGACAGGTAGGGCCAGTTGAAAGAAAGTGTGTGTACATGTATGTGCATGTGTGCATTTGTATGGTTTGTGTGAGTGGTGCACACATACATGTGTGTGCATGTGTGTGGGAGTGTGCATGTGTGTGTGTGCAGGCTAGTGTGCGTGTGTGCAAGTGTGCAAGTGTGCACGTGTGTGGTGTGTGTGCATGAGTGTGCATGTGTGTGGTGTGGTGTGTGTGTGGTGTGGTGTGTGTGTGGTGTGGTGTGTGTGTGGTGTGGTGTGGTGTGGTGTGTGTGTGGTGTGGTGTGTGTGTGTGTGGTGTCTGGTTCCTTCAAAGGGTGCTCTGTGGCCCCAGACTTCTCATTTGTTATCATCTCTCAACAGAAGACGAGCCTGGAGTTCTATATCGACATCCACGCCCACTCCACCATGATGAATGGCTTCATGTACGGCAATGTCTTTGAGGATGAGGAGCGCTTCCAGAGGCAGGCCATCTTCCCCAAGCTGCTCTGCCAGAATGCTGAGGACTTCTCCTATGTAAGCCAGGACTCCCTCTGACCTCCCTCTCTGCCTCTCCCTCAGTGCAGTTTGGTTTAACATTCACAGAACACCAGCTCTGTACCAGGTCGTGCGTGGATGTGGATGATAAAGACAGAGGTAACAAGCCGTGCCTGCCCTCAGGCCGCTCCTCACCAGTGGGGAGGGAGGCTCCGATGTGGCAGCCAGCGCTTGGTTTGTCTGAGGAGCTGGCATTTGTGTAGTTGATCTGACTCCAGCATTAAGACAAGAGACTCACTGAGCAACTGAGCACCCAGCACATGCCAGGCTGCTCCGGGTTGGCTTTCACCTGCCCCAGTTCCATCAGTAGGAGCCTGTCATGTCTGCAGAAGCGGTTACACGCGCACCATTCTCTTCCTTCATGATGCTTTCTGTGCCTCAGTTTCTTTGTCAGTAATTTGTGGGTCACAATTCCCTGCACTGCCCTGCCTGCGTCATAGCTTCCTGGGGGGACAAATGTAGCAATAGACTGCACTCTGCAGGCAGAAAAGACCTCAGCAGCCCCAGGAGTGTGTTACTACCCACCTCACATGCTGAGGAGGCCTGAGAGACTGTAGCCTGGTGGTTAGAATAATTTGCAGCAAAAGCAATATTGGAAAAGGGCCGGGAGAGAAGATAAGGAGGGGAGTCAGCATGTGGCATGGGGACAAGGGAGATAGTTTGTGAGGTTTCCTTTGTTTTGATACCAAATCTCTGAGGCCTGTTTGTGGCCAGAGATGGCGGGGGGGGCGGGGGGGGGGGGGGGGGGCGAAGCACAAAGGTGAGAGCAAGTTTTGAGGTTGTTGAACACTGGCCTTGCCTGTTGCTTCAGGCCTGGACATTGGTGGAGATGATAAATTTCTCTAGGAGGTAAGATGCACTTTGAATCTCAGAATCTTTGAATGCCAGACCACAAGAGGTTGGGGGAGATTATTTAGCCCAGTTTCCTCTTTATACCTAAAAGTTGCCTATGGCCCAGTGAGGCAGGTATATATAGTAAAGTCCCTCAGGTTTGGTGGTGTAATCCAAGCAGGTGGCTCCCTATTGGTAGGTCTGGGATAAAAGCAGCTATCCTCGTTTGTGTGGGAATCTCTATAGTATGGTCAGCCCTTGTCTTTTTGAAACCACTCCAATTCCAGAGCAGACTTGTGGTCTCCTGGATCCAGGTTCCCTGGAAGGCTGGGCCATAGGCCTCAGAGACCTTCACAGGGGTAAGGTTTCCAGGGCCAACAAAAGGGGCACCATCTAGGAGATTTATTTCTGGTCTTGCTGATTATGTTTCTGCATTGCAGCCCCTTAGGAGCTCAAGGCCGGGGTCAAAGTCATCTACCCTACTCCAACCTCTATTTCCCCTCTTCTCTGATCCTCAATGCCCAGCTCTAAAATGAGAGTTGGATTTCACTATGTGGACTTCAACAATCCTTTAAGATATGATATTATATGATTTTCTGATTCTTTCCTTTACCACAACACACACGTATTTCTGTTTCTTTCCATGTCTTTCTGTCTTGTTTTGCTGTTTTCTTTCTCCTTCTTCCTTTCTGTCTTTGCCTTCTTTTCTTACTTCCTGCTGAATAAGACACGTTTTTTAATTAAAACCATCATCTCTTCATGTACTTAGATCTTCATGTGTCAGCACAGATGCCCTTGTAACCACAGGTGAACTGACCCTCACACCTCTGTGAAAGAGATTTTTTTTTATTTTTTAAATATATTTTTATTGATTTCAGAGAGGAAGAGAGAGGGAGAGAGAGATAGAAACATCAATGATGAGAGGGAATCATTGATTGGCTGCCTCTTGCATGCCTCCTACTGGGGGGTCGAGCACATGCCCTTGACCAGAATCGAACCCGGGAGCCTTCAATCCGCAGGCAGACACCGAATCCACTGAGCCAAACCGGCCAGGACTGTGAAAGAGATGTTATGATCACTCTACAGATGAAGACATGAAGGCCAGTGGACTCCATGTCACATGTTCTGAACAGGGCCGGGGCATTGAGGCACTGACCTGTTTGCTCCCTCCTCTCCCTACTGTGATGAGTGTGGGAACACTCAGTGACGAAGTTGCCATGATCCCTGCTCTCTGGTGAGGCTGGACGTGAGGTCAGACGTGAGGTCGGCCGTTGCAGATGGGCAGGGAGCACTGTGAAGGAGTGCGGCAGGTTCTGAAGTCACTTATCCCTTGGTTCACGTCTCCTGTATCACTTACGTGCTCCACCTCTGAACCCCTTTCCTCACCTTAGAGGGGCAAAATTATCACACACACACCAAGGAGTGTTTTTTTTTCCATTAAATTTATTGGGACAACACTGGTTACTATGTCTGTATCCTCTATTGTGTGCTTACCACCTGAAGTCTAGTCTCCTTTCCTCACCTTTATTTGACCCTGTTTACTCCCTCTGTCCTCTCTGCACCCCCTGTCCCCGCTGCTAACCACCATTCTGTTGTCTGTATCTATGATTTTGGTTTTTCATGTGTTTTGCTTGTTCATTTGTTGCTTTTATTAAATATCCCACATCTGAGTGGAATCGGTTTCCATCTGACTTATTTCACCTGGCATAATATTTTCAAGACCCATCCATGTTGTCACAAATGTCAGTATTTCATCTTTTTTTATGGCTCAGTATATACCACATCTTCATTATCCAATCACCTGTCAAAGGGCACTTAGGTTGTTTCCGTGTCTTGGCTACTATAAATAATGCTGCAATGAACATAGGGGTACATCTATCTTTCCAAGTAAGTGTTTTTAAATTTTCCAAGTATATACCCAGAAGAGGAATTGCTGGATCATATGGTAGCTCCATTCTTAATTTTTTAAGGAATCTCTCCATAGTCGCTGCACTAATTTACAGTTCCAAGGGGGTTATTTTTGAAGCCCAAATGAGATACTGCTATAGGGGAAACAATATGATTAAGTTGAAATCACTGCCCAAATTTTAATTCTGATTTTCATCATAGTACAAGTACTTTTTTTTCAAGCTTTATTTTATTGTTTGAAGTGTTACATATAGTATTGCATTTTGCTTCTTATTCTCTGTCCACATTCCTTTGCTCCATCTGTTCCCCATTCAGATGTTCACAAATACAGGGATGGGCAAAAGCCGTGTTTCCCATATGCATGAGTGTGAGCCTACTTTTGCCCACCCCTGTATTTGTTAAATGGCAGTTACTGTGCCCCAGGAGCTCTGCCGGATGCTTTCGTTTTAATGCTGTTTGTTTAGTTAATCAGTCATCCTACTAAACCTGTGATGTGGGACTAATATCCCACTTTTCAGATGAGGAAGTTGAAGCCCAGAGGTAGTGTGTGCAGTCTGGTAGCCCAGGCGTCCTGCCCTGACTCTCTGCTCCTCCTTGTCTTTCACAGTCCAGCACATCCTTCAACCGGGACGCCGTGAAGGCAGGCACTGGCCGCCGCTTCCTCGGTGGCCTCCTGGACCACACTTCCTCCTGCTACACCCTGGAGGTCTCCTTCTACAGCTACATCAGCGGGGGCACCACTGCTGCGGTGCCCTATACCGAGGAAGCCTGTATCCTTGGCAGGTCCCCACCCTACCCCGGGCCAGCCCACAGCCAGGCCTGGCAGGACTTACTAGACAGGTCAGGAATTTGGTCTCCCGTGGGGTGAGGATGGGGATGGCTGGCTCTGCTGTTGGCATCTTTGCATTGTCCTGTTACCCCCTCGCCCTCTAATGGATGCCCTCTCCCATCTGCCTCTGCTGTGCTTCAAGTCTTGGTCAGGCACCTGGACCCACGGCCTCCCTCTGCTTTATGCTGCCCCTACATCTCTCTCCCCTCTGCTCCCTCATGAGAGGCTTCTGCCATCTAAGGTGTGTGAGCACACAGGCTGGAGGACCATCCCCGGGGCTGCTGAGGAAGACCCTGATGGTCTTCACTCCTCTTTCTAACCATGAACATTTAAAACTATATTTTCTCTTTTCTCTTCTACCTTTTTATTCTCTTGCTTTCTCATTTTCTTTTCCTTCTGCTCACTATTTTTCCTTTTACTTACCCCCCCCCCCGTCCCCTCTCCTCTATCTCTCCCTTCCCTCCTGTTTTGTGTGTTTCTTCCCCTAATTCTCACAGCCCCCTTCCTCTCTCCCCTCCCTCTGTATTCCCCCTTATTCCCATCTTCCTTTCCTCTCTGGCTCTTCACTTTGCCTCCCTTCCACCTTCCTTCTCTGCCCTCTCATCCTCTGCACATCTTGCTCTCTGCATTTCCTCTGCCAAATTGTCTTTCCTCATACAATTTATCCGAAAACCCCCAAGCATGCCATGATGAAATTAGAGGTTACTTTCTAGCTTGCTTGAATTTGTAGGGGTTATTGAGTCAATCTAGTTCCCTGAGTGTTGATTTTAATTTCAAGGTCACAGAATGACAGTTGTGACAGTGTCTGTTTTCCTTTATCCTTTTGTTTTTTGGATTGACCCATTTCTCCTTTCCTATGTTTTCTTAGAGAAAGAATTATAGTTGAAGGAGGAGAAAGGAGAGGAAATAAATTAACTGTGTATATATTTAAATTCTCCCCCCAAAGTACAGGTGCTTCTTTTAGCCTTTTTTCAACCCATGGTGAGTATTTATGGAGTTTCTACCATACTCCGGGCAGGAAAACATCCTTTCTATGTGTGATGTGACTTAGGACTAGTCGGTTGCAGCCTAGAGGCTCTAGGGGCGTAGGGGGGTGGGTCCAATTCCCGAGCTGGGATCATGGGAGGCAGGATGACAAACCCAGACGGAGGGGTGAGCAGCAGGTCAGCTGGGTGTTTGAGAAATGTTCCAGACCCACAGAGCACTGGAGAGATGGTGAGAGTCACCCAGACTGAGGCAGTCATCTTAAAGTCAGCTCTCATAACCTTTAACTGCGGCCTGGCTAAGGAACAGGCAGAGGACCCTTGGTTTCTAAAGCCCTGGCCATCTATCAAGTGCCACACCACCACCACTCCCTCGCCACCTCAAAGCACACGCCCTTAATCATGTATGGCCCATGCCCTCTCTATGATCCCCTAACTCCTGTAGCACATGCATAGGTCACATTCCACACTGCACCCACCGGCTTTGTTCCACATGATATTGTGGCAAAGAAGGTAGAGAGAGTTGCCTGGTGAATTGAGCCTGTGCACCAAAGGGGATCCCGCAACCCCTGATCATAGTGAGGTGTGAGTTTGTGCGCAGGAGCCTGCCCTCAGTTTGTGGTTGGTGTCTGATGTCGAATTTGAGGGTTCCCATCCTTTCTTGGCACCTCTGACATGCTTTTGTGTCAAAAGTAAACGTATTTCTCAGTAGAGTGCCTTCCCCCTTAGCTCAGGCCACAGTTTCCTCTCCTCAGTGTCCAGTCCTTGTTCATCACACGTAAACATGCCACCAGGACATGCAGGGGTCAGACCAGGGGCCCAAGATAAAATGCTGACCAAGAAGGCATAGTTCCTGACTCAGAGCTTTCACTCTCCTTGGGGAGACAGAAGAGGAAAGAGGCATCTGTAATATATATGATGAGTTCTGTGGGGAAGGATTCCAGAGGGCCATGGAAAACTTTCACTTAGTAAATTTGTGTTGAGTGTCCACCACAAGCAAGGTAAGTTCTAGGCACAGGGGATGAAACAGTGAACATACTAAAAACAAAATGTCTTTACATGACCTCCCAGACACAGTTTTGGAAGGTCATGGATGGCTTCCCAGTAGAAGTGACATGTAAGCTGAGTTTTTAAGACTGAGTAGAAATTACCCAGATTTAGAGGGGTGAGTTGTTAGAGGGGGGACACTGCCGACGGAGAGTAGAGGAGGGTGTCTGCAGGAGCAGTGCATGGCTCAGGGTGGCTACAGGACTTCAGATGCAAGAGATGAGACTAAAGGACAGGCTGTAAGGAATTGAACTTGAACATGAAAACAATGGGAGCAATAGGAAAGTTTTTTTTGTTGTTTTTTTTTAATATATTTTATTGATTTTTTACAGAGAGGAAGGGTAAGAGATAGAGAGTTAGAAACATCGATGAGCGAGAAACATCGATCAGCTGCCTCCTGCACATCTCCCACTGGGGGTGTGCCCGCAACCCAGGTACATGCCCTTGACCGGAATCGAACCTGGGACCTTTCAGTCCGCAGGCTGACGCTCTATCCACTGAGCCAAACCGGTTTTGGCAATAGGAAAGTTTTAAATTGTGGTGGAAGCCACTCTGACTACAGTGGGAAGGACAGACTGGAGGGGCCAGGACTGTAGTTGGAGACAAGCATTAGGAGGTTGCTTTGATCATCAGGTGGGAAGTGATTCAGGCCTCAATTCTGGTGGTGCCGTGGATTATTTAGAATGAGGGGATTTGGTACGTGATTACAGGGTGTCAGTGGGGAAGAGGTGCTAGTTAGTGATCGGAGGGAGTTAAGGGTGACTGGTGGGGCCTCACATGAGCTGAGCAGGCCATGATGCTGTGAGAGCCGCCGCCTTGTTCTGTTACCCAGGGGATGAGAAGAGAAACCTGGAGCTGCACCAGGGAAGCTAGGGCCAATTCAACACACACGCGTGTGATCTAACTTGGCTCCCGAATGAAATGCACTTTTTAAAACCCTCCTCTCGTGACAGAAGGAGACTTCAGGCAGACAGATTGTGGTCCGGGTTGGCTACTGGCTCCTCCTCCCAATCAGAGAAAGAAATGACATGATGGTCTGATGGGAATGGCAATATGATCTGGAAGGAAGTGTCCTCTAGCCTGGGAGTCAGGGGCCTGGATCCTGATGGCAGCACCTCCCAGAGAGTGTCCTTCGGCAAGTCCTCTAACCTTGCTAGGGTGAGCAACATCGCCTTCACAAAGGGACCAAGGACCTTTCACTTTCCCACCCCTGCTCTGGGGATTAAATACAGATACTCATGAAAATGTGAGGAGTTATTCAAAGAGAACAGACCTCAGATTCAGACAGATCTGGGTTTGAATCCTGTATCAGCCACTTACTAGGTATGTCACCTTGGGCAAGTTACCTCACTTCAGTGGATCTCGCTGTCCTAATCCATAATAGGACATAATAATACTTCACCTCACTGAGCTGCGATGAGGTTGAATAAAATAATGTGTGTGAGTGTGCACTGTAAGTTAAGTGACTGTTGGTTAAAACATTGAAGAGATGTATGTGACTGTGGGTGAGGACCTGTGTTTATGTTGAAGACATAGAGTTGTTAGAGCAAGAAGCCTGGCTGTGCTTCGAGGGCTCACAGGGCAGAGGGGCTTGGAGGAGTCACCACAGTTAAGGGCCTTGACCTCAGAATGCCACACAGCGGGTGGGAGTGCAGTTCCTATGGTTTGTTTTTTGTGTCTGTCATCCAGAGTACGCCCTTCCCAGTATCAGGTGTGGGTTCCCCAGTGGGGGCTAGGCACATGTAAGATCCGAGAAGGCTGGAAGGGAGGGAATCCTGAGGGGTCTTGCACCCAGGCTCACAATAGTGCTCACCTCCCCACCCACCAGAAAACATATGTCTGTCAGTCTAGTTTTTCTCCCTGGAAAAGTGCCAGCTAAACATACCAGGGCCTTCCTCCCTAGTGCAATTATTTAACCACTCTGTCTGCCTCCCATTCACCTTGGGAATCTGAGCCCTAGTTCTCTTTCTGCAGGAAATCTTTCTTCCCTCTCCTGCCCCTCAGTTTCTTGATCTGTAAAGGGGGAATAGAGATGTTTTATGTCACAGGGCTGCTTTGATGGTTACAAGGGAGAATGCAGATGAATCACTGGGCACACACTCAGGCGCCATTGAATATTAGTTCCCCTGCCCTTCCTCCCTGTTGCTTGTTGTTTTTGTTGTTGTTAAATGATAAATTCCTGAGAACTTTAGACCATTCTCCAGCAAATGCTATTTACATTTTACTGTCCTGCAAGTAATAAATTGCTCTGTTCAAATGATTTGAGAGGTGGGGGGAGGTGAGCAGAGAAAGAGAGGGAGATGCTAAACTGGAATCATAAAATAACCCACAGCTTCTATGGTCTTTGTTTATGGTCTGGTCACAGCCAAAGGAAATAGCTCTTTGACAAAATGGATGAGAAAAACATTGCAAAGAGAGACCTTTGGTCCTGAGCAGACTCGTTTCCACAGTCTTATAGCTGGGACACCTTAATCAGAGAGTGCTGGCTCTAGGTGAAGGGAATGATGGGTGTGGCCAAGAGAAGATGCAGAGATCTAGGACTCAGGTGGTTGGCTTGGTCTCAATTCAAAGCCTACTATATGCTTTCCACTGGGTCCACACCAGACATTGACAATGTCACTTATTTTATTCATCCATCCAACAGAACTCAGTAGACACTACAAAGTTTTGTCCTCAGTCCCTGGTGATCTGACGGTCACCTCTGTTGGGGCACTACACCTCTCCAGTGCCCCTCTTGTCTGAACATGAGCTAAAGGTTGCATAACTGGTTCTCTGGTTTCCTTTTCCAAGTCTTGCATGGTGGTTTCATACTTCACTTTAAAATGTGGTATCTGGCCCTGGCCAGGTAACTCAGGAGGTTAGAGCATCATCCCACTATGCCAAGGTTGTGGGTTCAATCCCTGGTCAGGCC